ACTTGCTGAGTTGGGAATGAACTAGTGAATATGAATGCACATTCCTTGTGGTAGGTTATCACTGGGTGGGTGGCAAGATTTAATAGAGATGGAGTGTGCATTTTTTTTTTTTTTTACCTCACTGGTATTCCTGCAGAAGTGGATAATCATTTTAACAATATTCTTTTCAGCCCATACCTTCTTGGGAATACAATTGTCTAACTTTTTATTTTTGGTCTGGCTGTTGTGGTGTGCAAAACTTCCTATGTTGCTTTTTTGCCACACTGCAACACTTTACAGATGTGGAAGATGTGAAATTTGTCATCAATTATGACTACCCTAACTCTTCAGAGGATTATATCCACCGAATTGGACGAACTGCCCGTAGTACCAAAACAGGCACAGCATATACTTTCTTTACACCTAATAACATAAAACAAGTAAGCGACCTCATCTCTGTGCTTCGGGAGGCTAATCAAGCAATTAATCCCAAATTGCTTCAGTTAATTGAAGACAGAGGTTCAGGTATGTTCATTTTCCTGGATTATGATAATTTGTTATTGTACATAGAAATATTATGTATAGAAACAAGACTGTCAGGTGTCATTTGCCTGTAAATAAGTAATAAATGCTTCTGATTTTTGAGGAATTAGTGACAGATGAGGGTGAGGGTTGGGGGGGTGTGGTTGGGATAGGGTATTAGATTACATAAGTCTGAAGTATAATTTTTGATTGTCAGTATGGTAAAGAGTGGAGATCAACTGAATTCCCTGCTTGCTGTCTTTGTTTAGCATTGATTTGCAACATCAAGCTCCAAGAGACTCTGATTTTGATAATTTCTCTTTTTTTTTCCTCCTCCTTCTGCCTGCCACAGGTCGTTCCAGGGGTAGAGGAGGCATGAAGGATGATCGCCGTGACAGATACTCTGCGGGCAAAAGGGGTGGATTTAATACCTTTAGGGACAGGGAAAATTATGACAGAGGTTATTCTAGTTTGCTTAAGAGAGATTTTGGGGCAAAAACTCAGAATGGTGTCTACAGTGCTGCAAGTTACACCAATGGGAGCTTTGGAAGTAATTTTGTGTCTGCTGGTATACAGACTAGTTTTAGGACTGGTAATCCAACAGGGACTTACCAGAATGGTTATGACAGTACACAGCAATATGGAAATAATGTCCCAAATATGCACAATGGCATGAACCAACAGGCATACGCATATCCTGCTACTGCAGCTGCACCTATGATAGGTTATCCAATGCCAACAGGATATTCTCAATAAGACTTTAGAAGTATATGTAAATGTCTCAGTTTTTTCATAATTGCTCTTTATATTGTGTGTTATCAGACAAGATAGTTATTTAAGAAACATGGGAGATGCAGAAATGACTGCAGTGCAGCAGTAATTATGGTGCACTTTTTCGCTATTTAAGTTGGATATTTCTCTACATTCCTGAAACAATTTTTAGGTTTTTTTTTGTACTAGAAAATGCAGGCAGTGTTTTCACTAAAGTAAATGTACAGTGATTTGAAATACAGTAAATGAAGGCAATGCATGGCCTTCCAATAAAGATATTTGAAGACTGATTTTGAAATGGAAATTGTTTACTTTACAGTTGTACAACTTAAGTTAAATTGGAAAATGTCATAGATGCTTTTCTGTATCAAATGCTAGTAAAAAGCCTAAACTGGTCTTGCATTTCAACCTATGGTATTGGTTGTTGGGATTAATTACACATACATCAGGTTTACAATCTTCCCTATCTCCTTAACCGTTATCTTTCCTTCCCCCCCCCCCCCCCTTTCTGCCTCCCATTGAGGCTCAGTAATTTTGAAAGAAATGAAATGAGTAGTGGAGAAAGCTTCATTGTTAGGTAAAATAGTGGACATTTATATACAGTGCTTTCAAGTTTACAAAAGCACTTTCCTCACAAAACTCAAATCTATTATTTATAGCATTGCTCCCATTCCCCTCCCCCCAAGATGAAGCAAATTCTAAGCTCACAGCTAAATCCCAAATCTTTGATGCAAAAGTGAGACTAGGGTTAAAATTATTTTCCTTGTGCTAATGCATGTGATGCCTTGTAGCATGTAAAATAAAAATTGCAAATATGTGCTTTTTGGAACAAGAAGTACTTGTTCTTGGACTAAATGTCTGGCCTAAGTGTTACCTATAGCTAAATGTAAATTTCACTGGGCCTAACCTTGTAAAATGGTTGTCAGGAACCATATTCTTTTTTTCAAAAAGGGTAAATTTGGCTTTTTACTGTCACTTTTTAACAAGCAGAATTCCCATCGAAGGGCTGCATTTTTATTTCCAGTAGTCTCACCATAGAGGATCAGTATTTTTTGGTTTATAATTTTTTTAATGCTAGGTATATTTGAGGTACAGAACCAACCAGAGTAGCAGTTATCCGTGAATCATTGACATCCTGGAATGTATTAATTGCCGATTTGAGGGTTGAAGTCAAGAAATACGTTTCTTGCATGAAACCTTGAGGCAAATGGAAATTTCCCTTTGAAAGACTCAATCAGAAGTGTAGTGGGAAACCTAATAGGCATAGATGGTATAGTAAAATGTTAGGGTGCAGATTAAGTTAGAAATTTCTGTAATTCCTGGAACAGACACTATTTTCTATCTTGGCCTAAATTCAATAGAGGTTTGTTTATATTGTAAGCTCAAGAAATCCATCAGTAACTTGAATAAGATTTTTATTACCAATTACTTTTAACTTTCTAGTTTCCCATTGTTTCAGAGCTACCTCTTACTCATACAACATTTCTATCGAATATTTAACCTGTTACTTCCCACAGACTAATGCAACTTTGTGCTTTCTACTTGTGAAGTGCTTAAATATAAAGGAATAAATGCATTTATTTCCTCCAGAGACAATTTTGTATTTTTATGAGACCTTTTTTAAGGTTGAGTCCTCTGGTTACAAGTGTATTTTATGAAAACACATGGGTGGTGGGTGTGTTTAATTCTTCATGTGCCCAAGAGGTAGAGACCTAAATATTTTGATGGGAAAGTCCTTGAAAATGGGCTTTTTTTTAATAAAAAGCATGAAGGTACACCTGTTACAGTGGCCATTAAAAAAAAGGGGGGGATTATTGTATTACTTGGTGGGGATGAATGTAGAACCGATAAAGTGAAGTAGCTATTAACTCCAAACTAGCATTTGAAGTGGTCCAAAAGAAATAAGCAAAGATGGGCCTTGTTAAGCTAATGAATTTTTCCACCGCAGGAAGATAGGTTTAAGTAAAGATTAGCTAACTAAGGAGGAATTCTTGAAAGTGATAATTTAAACTAGAGTTTTAACAGGAACAGATTATGTGATACTATGGACAAGGCCTTGACAATTTTTTTTCATTCAAATTATTTTCATTTGGGCCCTGTTTTCAAATCCTAGTCCCCACTATATAATAAAGAGTTCTGACAGGATCAGGATTTAAATTAAATCCTGCCTATATAATATGTAAAGTAACTCTGGGCAAGTTATTTAGCCTCCCTGGGTTAGTCTGGGGTCTGTCTAGTTATAGATCGCTAGATTCTAGTTATGATTCCTAATGGAGTACAATGCCCTGCTGAATGCTTTATTGTTGGCCTTTTCTGATTACCCAGGCAAAAGTGGTTATTAAAAGTTATTCCTATGAGATTTAAGACCTACCACTTAATGGGAACACGTGCTGCCCTGTAATGTTTACCCTCATAGGTACCTTGCACATTGTAAGTAGCTACGCAGTTTTTTTTTTTTCAACTGCCTTCCTTGGTGCTCCATTCCCCTGCCTCCCTCCTTACCCTACACTGAACTCTGTTAGACTTTATTCCGTTGCTTAGAAACTCACTCCCTGTCTGTTTGGTTTTCAAGACCTGTAACTGAGGTCCATCCTATCTTTTTCTCTATGTTCCCCAGTATGCTCACTTTAGTTATAGGGTAGACTACAGTGTTAATGGTGATTTCATGTTCCCTTCACTTAAGTTGTTTAGCTCCTCTCCTAGCCAAATTTCGATTGAATTACATTCTTTTAAGGACCATCTCTAGTCATTTTCCTGTAAAAAGGTTTAACTGCTACAGCTCTCATGCCCCCTCTTCACCAGAACCCAAAGACCGTAAATTTCCAAGAAAGCAGGGAGCATAACAGGTTTCTATCGTTTCCCAAAGCTATGGGCACCCCTGCAAGAAGGAATTATTTTTGCCTCTATTTCCATACTTTTGCCGCTCGAGGCACTCAGTTAAGATTTGTGTGCCTGCCCGTTTTCCTTCAATTTTAAGTGACTAGAGGACAAAATAAGTTTTGTACAGCACTGTATCTTACATAAAGCCTCTTGCAAAACAAAAACGGCTTGATAAGTTTTAACATTTTTGGTTGGTGGCAAAATTTTATAACAGCCACGAGAGGACAAGGAGCAGTGGCTCCTCAAATCTCTGCCCTCATTGCAGCCCATTTAGTTGAGAGATCCCATTTTATAAACACGTCTGTTGGCATAAGTTTAAAAATACAAACAACTGAATTATGCTTATAGCATCTCGGTTTGTTAATCTAATGCAGCTTCTTCAAGTTACCTGGGAGACAGGTTGCTAGGAGGCGTCTGGAGCTGCAAATAAGCCCCCCAGGAGAGCTCACATTCATTATCCCATGAGGTCTCTGGGCTTGTTATGCCCTACAGTCCTAGGCGTTTTAAAATGTTTTAAAACATGACTACTTTTTTATACCTAATATTTTCATGTAGTATAGCTTATTATAATATAACATTATAATAAGTTTACATTTTTTGTTTAAAAAAATTTTTTTAACAGGCCATTTCCGGGCCTGTGCCGGAATACGGACAGTCGGAGGGCGGAGCTGAGGTAGGAGCAGCGGAAGTGGCAACAACCCCCGGGGAGAAAAAGGAGGGAGGAGTTCATTGACAGTGGAACCTCACAGAACGGATAGCGTGGAGGGTGGAGCGGTGGAGGACGGAATATCTGTGGGCGGGGCCTGGGGCGGAGCAGCCAAAGCTGGAACAGCCAGGGTGGAGTTCAGCCCCAGAGACAATTATGGGCTTGGAAAGGCAAATATCGCGCTATTTCGGGATAGGCGGCTGGGAAAGAAAGGTGCGCGTCGCGAGGGTACGTGACTTGGCCTCCTTAGGTTGGGATTTAGGGATGCTAGTCTCGTACTCTCATGATTTCCGGCGCGCCTGCGCACCCTGCACTCCTGGGCGGTCGTGGCGGTTTATTGAGGCAGAGGCGGCTGGCGTGCCATGGCTTCGGCTGCCGTGGCTGAGGTCACTCGCAGGACTTGGGGTTGCTCGCAGTCCAGGATCTGGGCTCCCCTAGAGGCGGGTGGATGGCCGAGGCAGAGGAAGAGAAGACGACAGCAGAGGACCTACGTGAAGCCTCCCGAGGGTGGCGATGACCACCCACCAGGCCCGGGGTCCGGCGCCGAGTGGAGCGAGGCCCTTTTGGACATCTGTCAGAGAAGGCATTTCCTGGTGGGGACCCAGCAGCCGCTCGGGAGGGACTCCCTCCGCAGCGGCCACCACCCCGGCTTCGGCCCCCTCGGCGTGGGGCTCAGGAAGAACCTGGCGTCGCAGTGGTGGTCCTCGGTGGCGGCCTTCAGGGAGCACATCTTCCCGCTGGACACCCCACACCACGAGCCGTGGTCTGCGGAGCTTCGAGGCCGAGGCCTCTGCCTAGTCCCTGCCGACGGCCTCCGGGCAGCCTTGCAAGACGAAGCACTAACTAAGGAGCAGCTAATTACCTCTCTTGAGAGCATGTTAAAAACTTCTGGGACGCTACGGGAGAACCTCTATCACGGTATGCTTGGCGTTTTCATGCTTGGAAGTAGAGCTCTCAGAAAAACACCCAAGGTAGTCTGGCTTGACTTTTTTGTTTTTGTTTTTGTTTTAATAACAGTACCTCCTTTTTATTCATAAAGAAAACTGATTTGTGGGGCAATATTTTTGAGCGCCGCTGACAAGTGCACAGGTTAAGTTTTCAGTTTTTGTGTCATATCTGTCAGTGGTGTGCTGGCATTTATCTAAATTCTGCAGGAAACTGGCTAATGGATTCTTTCCTCTTCAAGTACGATACAAGAATCCCAATTTTTAAATTGACCATTTCCCTCCCAGAGAACCATCCCACTGAGGACTTCAGTTTAAAAGAATCTCCGAATGATTGCTGTGCAGTGAGTTTCAGTAGATTCCACTTCTAAAGACATAGGAAAAAAGATTCAGCCTGTTCTTTGAATGTTACCGTTATATTTTCTGAAATACTAAGTTATTTCCAGGGGAGGCATATTAGTACCCGCCTTTAACCAAAGAAAAATGCTTTTGCTGGGTCAGTCAGTAAACAATTACTGAGCACCTACTATGTGCCAGGCATTCTGCTAAGCACTGGTGATACAGATACGAAAAAAGACAGTTCTTGCCCTCCAGTTAATGGAGGAAGACAAAACTTACGTAAAGGGAAGCTGAAAGGGGCAGAGTGTGTGTGGGGGGGAGGTGAGGGCAGTGAATAGGGAAGGTACCCAATGCAGGGGTCGTGGTGGAAAAGTCAGAGAAGTCCCAAAGTAATGCAGCCAGGTGAGAAATGAGATGTTCTGAACTGAGCTCCCTCCTTAAATGGAAGTTCATGGTTCCACCCACCAATCTAAGGGACTGAGAATGGTGATGAGGTGTGAAGTAACAAGACTGATGAGGTCTTGTGGGCTGAAATTTTGATGAGATCTTGCAGGCTGATGAGGTTTTCACAATAAAGAACTTTCCTGAAGTATAGTGGGAAAGTCAGAGAGGTCCTAAAGTAGTGTAGCTACTTTAATGAGGAGGTAACTTGAGTTATACTTCATTATAAAAATGTGTTTTCCTAAATTAAAAAACCAAGCAACATCATTTCCAGGTTTCTGTGAAGTTATTTTTGAGCGTCACTAAAATAATAAGCAGAACCAGGTTTCTAAAAATGGAGTTTTTCTTTTGCATGTGGTAGTATTTGCAATAATTGTAAGATTGCAAAGATGGAGTAAACGTTTCAGACTCTGTTTCAGTTGGAGGTCAGGAAGCCTGGTAAATTGGATAGAGTACTATATTTGATGTTACATTTCAAATATGTCACCATAGGCATGTCATAGTCTCTCTGAGCATCAGTTTCCTTATCTGTAAAATGATGCTACCTATACTTATTTCCAGAGATTGTTAGGAGGTTCAAATGAGATATTGTATGTAAAGCACTTGCAGACTTTCAAATGCTATCTAAATGTTGGTTTTTTGCTATGACTCAATATTAGTAGGATTTGTAATGCTTAAGGAAATCTGTAAAGACTTTTTATTGAGTTTAGATCACTGCTTACTAATCCAACATTAATGTTAATGATATCCCAGTTGGTTGGGAATGTTTTGATGCTTCATCAAAAAAAAAATTAAAGTGATTAGAGAAGTGAAAATTCTGAATTGGATCATCAACCTTAAGTGGAATCTTCTAAAACTATTGATTTAAAATGTTTTGGTAATTATTAAATAATGTGGAGGCTACTAATTACAAGAAAGACAGAACCAAGAATTAATTAGTTCTTAATGATGCTTTGACATTATTACTACTACTTATATTGTGCTAAAATTAGAATGCTGGGGACTTATATGATATAGATTTGTAAGGCAGGTTAAGCTGTGAAATATAAATTTATAAAGATGAATGGCATATATTTTTACAGGTGCTTTGAAACAGTATGTTAATTGCCTGGATCTGGTAAACAAGAGGCTGCCTTATGGTCTTGCTCAGATTGGAGTGTGTTTTCAAGATGTTCCTGATACTGGACATACATGTGATGACATCAAAAGGTATAAATTTAGCTAAGCATTTATTAATGGGTATGCAAAGATAAATAAGGTGCTGTCCCTCTCAGCCCTGAAGAAGAAGCTTTTTTTTTTTTAGTGAGGCAATCGGGGTTAAGTGACTTGCTCAAGGTCACACAGCTAGTACATGTCAAGTGTTTGGTCTGAGGCTGGATTTGAACTCCAGTCCTTCTGACTTCAGGGTTGGTGCTTTATCCGCTTCACCACCTAGCTGCCCCTGAAGAAGCTTATTGTCAGGGAGAAAAGACATGTGCAAAGGAATCTAAAACAGAGGAGAATGTTATAAGTAAATAAGAAAGATACAGATAAAATATTGAGAGTTCAGAGGTGGGGAGATCAACAGGGAAGACTTCATAGAAGAGGAAGTATTTGAGATGGGAGGCAAAAGATAAGCTGGATCTCCACAGGTGGTGAGTAGGAGGGAAGAAGAGCTGTTTTTTTCAATTGCTTGAAATGGGAGGCAGAACAGTACATGTGTTCCAAACACCATGAGTAGCCCCAATCTGACTAGAACATAGATTATTTGCAGCTGAGAGTAAGGTGAAGTAAAGCTAGAAAAGTAGTTTGGCACCTAAATGTCTATGAACCATCATTTTTTGATTAGGGATAGACTTTATGAAAACAAATAATTATGATTTTGCTCCCTGATTTTAAAGGCATTCCTGACCTTTGTGTTTTTAAAGAATAGGTGAAAGGACCATGTCTTCCCTGGTATGGTTTACCTCTGCAAGAACAGCAGGCCAGTGGCTTGATTTCTGGTTGCGACATCGACTTTTGTGGTGGAGAAAGGTATTTTTTTAAAATAATATTTTATTTTACCCCCAATTACATGTAAAAACAATTTTTAACATTCTTTTTTTTTTAAAGTTTTGAGTTCTAAATTCTATCCTCCGTCCTTCCTCTACCCCTTCCCTAAGACGGTAAGCAATCTGGTATAGGTTATACATGTGCAATTATGTAAAACATTTCATTTTAATCATCTTATGCAAGAAGACTTTAAAAAGAAAGACAAAACAGTATGCTTCAGTCTGTTTTCAGACATCTTTTCTTTCTCGATAGATAGCATTTTTCATCATGAGTCCTTTAGGATTTTGTTGGATCATTGTATTGCTGAGAATAGCTAAGTTATTCACAGTTGTTCATTGTACAGTATTGCTGTTACTGTGTGCAATGTTCTCCTGGTTCTGCTTACTTCACTTTATCAGTTCATGTAAGTGTTTCCAGGTTTTTTAAAAATCATCAGCTTGTCATTTCTTATGGCACAATAATATTCCATTACTATCACATACCACAGCAACTTGTTTAGCCATTCCCCAGTTGATGGGCATCTCCTCAATTTCCAGTTCTTAATTACTGTAAAAGGAGCTGCTGTAAATATTTTTGCACAAATAGGTCCTTTTTTCCTTATTTTTTTTTTAATCTCTTTGACCTAGCGGTGGTATTGCCTTATCAAAGGGTATGCATAGTTTTATAGCCCTTTGGGCATAGTTCTAAATTGCTCTTTAGAATGGTTGGATCAGTTCACAACTCTACTAACAATGTATTAGTGTCCCAGTTTTTCCCCATCCCCTCCAAGATTTATCATTTTCCTTTTTTGTCATATTAGCCAATCTGATAGGTGTGAGGTGGTAGGAGAAAGGTATTTTGGTAGATAACTTGAGTTTAAAACATTTTTTTTTAAATTAAGTGGAAGCGATATAGCATAATAGAAAGAGATGGGCTTATGTTCAAGAGAGATGTAGGTTCAAATTCTCAATCACAGTATTTATGTATAAAAAACAATTTTGACATGTTCAAATTTATGAATGAAATAAACTTATTTGAATATTGCTTACAGTTTAATTATTTGTATAACATGTTGAATTCAAGAGTTGATATTTCCAGTGACATACAAAAAGTTGACTGATTTTTAATTATCTTATTTTTAATGTTAAAAGTAATAGAATTATTGCCTGTAAAGCCTGTTTCAAATGTTAATTTTTTTCTTAACGTATAGTAATATTTTATTAGTGAATGTAGGTGAAAACAATTACAACAAACATCATACAATGAAGAATTCTGTATAAAATTTTATTCTATAGCAGTATTACTTAATGATCATTAAAAGCTTTCAGTGGCTTCCTATTATACAAAATAAAAAGTCTAAACTTCCTGATCTGTCTGCAAAGAGGTCAAGAAGGATGAGGACTGTGTAAAAGGTCTTTAGATTTGGCAATTAAGAGATCATTGGTTACTTTGTAAAGAGCAGTTTTAGTTGAATGATGAAGTTGGAAGCCAAACTGTAATGTGGCTCAATCTTTTCAGAGATTGAGAAGAAAGAAGAGTGGAGGCAGTAGACAACTGTCTCAAAAAATTTGTCTGCATGGATCAGTGAAGGTTTTTTGAGAATGGAGTCATGGGCATGTTTTGTAGGTAGTAGTTAAGCAGCCTAGAATAGGGAGAGATTAAAGATGAAGACAGGTCTTTTTGTGGTGGCAAAGAATTGGAAATTGAGAGAATGCCCATCAATTAGGGAATGGCTGAACAAGTTGTGGTATATGAATGTAATGGAATGCTATTGTGCTATAAGAAATGATGAGCAGGCAGACTTCAGAAAAACCTGGAAAGACTTATATGATCTGATGCTGAGTGAAGTGAGCAGAACCAGGAGAAAGTTGTACACAGTAACAGCCATGTTGTGCGATGACTAACTTTGATAGACTTAGCCCTTCTCAGCATTGCAAGGATCTAAGACATCTCCAAAGTCCTCATGATGGAAAATGCTATCCACATTCAGAGAAAGACCTATGGAGTTTGAATGCAGATTGAAGCATACTATTTGTGTTTTTTTTTCTTCTGTTTTGTTTTGTTTCCTCTTTCTTGTGTTTCCTTCTATTGGTTCTAATTCTTCCTTACAAGATCACTAATGTGAAAATATGTTTAATAGGAATGTATATGTATAGCCTGTATCAGATTGTGTGCCCTCTTGGGGAGGGAGAGGGAGAAAAATTAAAACTCAAAAGCTTATGAAAATTATTGTTGATAAATCAAAATAAATTAATTGAAAAAGTAAAGATGAATGAGAGAGTGTGGATGATATAGGAGGCAATCTCTTGGAGAAGACAGGATGGAATAGGATCACTTGAGCACATGGAGGGGTTACCCTTGTCAAGGAGAGGGGCAGGCTCAATTTTTTTTCAGTGAAATACAAAGCTGAGAGGTTGCCATGGGAGGTTTGAGGGAGGGATGAAAAGGTTTGGAAAAGCCTCTGTGGTCCATGGGATAGTAAGTTTGATTAGGGAGGTATAAAAAGATTGCCTTGCTGCATTGAGAGCCCAGTTAAATGAAATATAATTTGTAGTGAACCAATCAACATGGTTTATTGATTTCCTCCAACTCCATTGAGTAGAATATAAATAGAAGAGTAGATAGAGTAGTTCAAGGTTGAGGTTTGGCAAAACATGATTGGTGATAGGGTCTGGGAGTAGGGGAGCACAAGGGACTTCAGTGTAAATAGTAGTCGAGTTGAACTAGTTCACCAGAGGGTCAAGATAGGGAAGGGAGGAGAGGATAGCCAATATAGGAATGATGGCCTGGAGGAAAAAACTAAGGGTAAGGGGGATTGAGGGTCATTATGAGGGTGAGGAACAAGGTTGGAGATGGTAAATCCTTGGGATTCCTAAAAGATCATGATCAAGTAATGGAATTTTAGAGTTCATGAACACAGAAATAGAACACTTGTAGGTAAGAGAAAGATCAAGGGTATGAACATCTTTGTGTTTAGATGAGGTAGAATGGAGAAGTAGGTCATAGGAACTAAGTAGATTTAAGAACTAGGAAGTTAAGTGTGTTTGAGAGAGTATCAATATGTACGATGATGTGTCCTAGTAAGAAAGCCTAATTTGGAGTGGAGAGAGACTATGACCAGGCAATGAAGTCACTGAAGAAGGAAGGGGAATAATAGGGACTTTATTAGATAATGGTCACCAGGATCTGTACTGGGTGGCAAATTTAGAAAGCTTGAACCTCAAAGGAGTAGAAGTTGCTGAGTAATAGTGGTAGAGTTTAGAAGTAGCAATGAGGAACAAGGAGTATTCTAACTTTTCCACCATGACCAGTGAATAGGGGATATGAGTGAAAATACAACCAGTACTGGAAAAGGCTAGCAGGCATGCATTGTCACCAGGTGGGAGTCAGGTCTCAGTGCCAGAAGATGACTGGAAGTGAGAAAGGAAGAGGTGTAATTAAGCTAAAAACAAGTTTGTTTTCAGGTGATCCAGAGGGCACAGTTAAAGGCAGATCTAGGGTGAGATATAGGAGGAGGGAGTTAGGGTAGGGAACAGATGAGGTTTGTAGATCAGCCCAGGGGTTCAGAATCACTGGGTTAAGAAGAACATTAGTGGATGGGAATATGCTAAACATTGAGAAGTGAGTCCAGGTAGAGTATCAGTAGTTGGAGAGAGGTCGGTTGAGGAAGGCAAGTGATTCTAGGCAGGTTGTTCAAGGTCTTCCTTTGAAGTCCAGCCTTTTGACAAGTGTTAAGTGGTGATGTGTTGTGGGAGGCCCACTTCACTTTAGGCAGTAACAGATTCATGTCTTACTCCCTCCCACCTCGATGATATCGCTTCATGCTGTTGCCAGATTTTCTCTGTTGGTTGTACCCAACTTTTACACCTTCCTCTGTATTCTGCTTACTGCTATCCTGAACTTATTCTCCTACCACCCCAAAGACAAGGGGGAGGGGAGGGAATTGAAAGCTTTTTCTCCATTTCTCTCTCTTCCTAATTAGTATATAACCCAGATCCCTGTTTTACTCTTTCTTTTCCCCATCTGAGAAGGTGCACTGCACCAAAAAATTTTTTTAAAAGGACATAAAACTACAGAAATACCTCTTACACACTCCATATTCTTGTCCTTGTCTAGGTCTAAACGCATAAAAACAAACTTCATTTTATAGTTTTTCATTACTCTTTGAAAAAGCAATTTCTATATAACTTCTTATTTTTTGGAAGACCTATGATTTTTAGGTTTTCTCTTCACATCCTACCTTCAAATTCAGTACTTTTGCTTTGTAGAACTTTGAAGTAGTCTTGTAATTTTGTTTTTATTCCTTTAATTTACCTTCTTCCTCATCATTTTTACATTTCAGTTCTGTCATAATCTTTTTATGAGAATCAATCACTGTGGGTTCTGCTACTTTGTCTTTTGTTCAAATTTCTGTGGTCTCTGGTTACACTTGCTGTTTTGTTCCTTGAGAACTCTTTATTTTCTGTTCTTATTTTTTTGATGTCTTAGAGTTGCTAGGGATACTGGAAGACTGTCCCTGGGTTGCCAGAGTGAGATAAGCCTTGAAACTAAGTCTTCCTGACTCTTAAAACCAGCTTTTATCTGCCAACCAAATCACATGCTTCTCCATGACTATCACGTGTTGAAAAGGTGCTAATCTACGCTAGGATAGGGAGTTTCCTCCTTAGGAATTGCCAAGAAAACTGAGGAACAAGCATACTATAGGAAAAAAAAAACAAACTTCTTTGATATTTTCACTGAATTCTTTGCTCTTCTGAACCACTCAATCAAATTGTCATCAATTATTCTTAAGCACCTACCATATAGTCAGTACTCTGCTAGGGTCTAGGGATACAGAAGCAAAGATCAAACAGTCCCTGTCTTAAGCAGCTTGCATTGTATTGGAGATGACAATATGTATATTCAAAATAAATACAAGATAGTTTAGAGAGGGAGGGCACCATGATGGAGGTTCTTGGAATTTCTCTCTTGTTGTTTCAAAGGCTCTTGCTGAATTTGTTATGCTAACTTCATCTTACCCAGCAGATTTTCCACTTGGTTTCCTTGTTGTGAAAGTGCTTGCCAACTGAGATAAATCTTTTCTTTGAATGTATGCTTATTTTTGCTCTTCAGTCAGTGTTTGCCTGTCTGCTGACTTTTCTTTGGTATCCTTGCCAAAAATGTGTTTATTGTGCTTATTCTTTGCTCTCAGATCACCAGGGTTGGGCAAAATCTGTTATCTTCAGGAAAAGAGGGTAGTTATTTGGGACACTGCCAGAGAGAAACACTGAGTGAATGAGTGAAAGCATTTAGTAAGTGCACAGGGTGTGCAAAGCACTTTGCTATGTACTGGAAGTGACATTAAGAAAAGTAGGAGATAGTAGGGCATATTCTTCACTTTTACTAATCCTACTCATCTGGTTTCCACCATCTTTTCCCAACAGTTCTCCACCTCCCCACCCCCAATCTCTATACTAGCCTTGGGAGCTGGTGTTGGTGGGGTGGGGCACTGCTTTGAAGCTGGGTCTCTTCATTACTCTCTCTGCCTTCTTCTACTTTTGTTTCTTCCTGTACTGTATTAATTACTTTTAATCAACTTTTAATTATTTTTTTGGTTTCTTCCCTTTTTATTCTTCCCCACTCCTCCACAGCTACCACTTTTCTTCTGTGGTCTCAGGTCTGACCCAATTCATGGGTATCAATTCTTGGCAATGGGTTTTGTCTGACACTGCCAGCTCTTAACACCAAAAGTTGGGTGGCTAAAATTATTTATAGTTTTCACAAAGGTTGCTGGACTACTCTATTCCAGTATGGAGGTTGTGGGAGTGCCAAGAATGATGGGCTAGTGAGTTGAACTTCAGTTACTTTTTCTATAAGAATTACCTTCTATTTAAAACTCAAAAGCTTATGGAGGTGATTGTTGATAAATCAAAATAAATTAATTTTAAAAAAAAGCATTACCTTCTAGTGGATCCTTTACCTTCTTGCCATTGGTAGGTTTTCTGAATTTGGGATTTTTTTTTTACTTATACTATTTGGTATGGTGGTGGGAAGCCACCCTCTTAGATAACCTATTACTTTTGCATCTTCCCAGAGTTACTCTAAATTCTTATTTCTAAAGTTGGAGCTAAATTAACATTAAACTTTTATGATAAAACAGCAAAACATGAACATTTGAACTTTTCTTTTTTAGTTTGCAGTAAATCCATCCAACTTCAGCAGCAGCGACTGTCAAAATGAAGAGGGATGTAAAGGAAGCAAGCTGTTCTACAGTTTTCCCTGGGGAAAAGAGCCAATAGAAACACTCTGGAATCTTGGAGACCATGAACTTTTACAGTTGTATTCTGGAAACAAATCTAAATTACATGTATGGTGATTTACTTCCTCTTGACTATCCATTTTTTCAATAATAACCTGAGTGGGAAGGGTCCTAAATTATGACTTATATATACTTTGGGATAAGAGAGATAATGGGAGTTGAGGAACTGAGAGGCAAGGGTTTTCAAAGGTAGTCAAGTAGAGAACATTTATTAAGTACCTACTTTGTGGAAGGAAGTTTTCTAGGCATAGTAAAAGACTGGAAGACTAGAAAAGAGGGAGATTTATAGAAGGCAGCAACAAGGATCTGGACAGAACAGAGTGAACTTTAAAAGAGGTTGCTGAGTGATAGTAGAGGGAAGGTCTAAAAGTGGCATTGAGCAAAGAATATATAACAATTCTTCCTCTTGGCCCTGTGTTCCAGGAAAAGAAAGAGCAGCCACCTTCAGAATGAGTACCAAGAGATAAGATATCTTCAGGAGAAAAATAAATTTCCATGAACCCCAGAAATTGGAAGGAATGTAAAAGGAAGAGATATAGAATGAAAAGGAGTTGGACAATAAAGAAAGATTAGGAAGCTAGTAGGAAGGCTCAGACTGAATTGTATTGAGATAGGAATATGGGAAGAAGTAGGAGGGGAAAGGAGTTTCTGCTTAGGCAGAAGATGGTTCTGAGGTACAGGGAATAGAAGAACAAGAATTTGTTAGCATCTTTCTTGAACTCTAGTCTTTCATCGACAACTAGACCTGCTGGACATTTCTAACTCAGTGTCTTGACTCTGAGCTGATGAGTGTCTCACTAGTTACTTTATCCCTCCCCCTCAAATCCACCTTTCTTACTATTTGTTTGTTTGTTTTTTTGAGGGCACTGCCATGCTTCCAGTCACCTAGACCTCTGTGACTCCTCACTCTACCTAATCAGTTGTCAAGTCTTGTCTGTTCTATCTCCCCAGTGGCTCTTGAATCTGTAATCTGTTCCTTACTCTCCATATTCACAGCCACTAGCCTGGTTCAAGCCCTTATCACTTTTCATTCGGACCATTGGAAGGACCTCCTAATATCTCTCCTTTCTAATCTATCTTCCACATAGCTGCCAAAGTGCTAAAAGCACAGGTTTGATTTGGTCATACTGGTGGTTCCCTGTTACATCTAGGATCAAATACAAACTCCTTTTTTTTTTTTTTTTTAAAGGCAGTTGGGTTTAAGTGACTTGCCCAGGGTCACACAGCTAGTTAGTGACAAGTGTTTGGTCTGAGGCTGGATTTGAACTCAGGTCCTCCTGACTTCAGGGCCCATGCTCTATCCACTGCGCCACCTAGCTGCCCCTCAAATACAAACTCTTTAAAGCCCTTTACAACTTGGCTCCAAGCTACCTTTCCAGCCTTGTTGTGTATTGCTCTCCTTCACTTCTGGATGTTCCTCATATACAACACTCCATCTCCAATCTCTGTGCCTTTACAGAGGCCATTCACTCATATCCCTAATGTGCTGCCACTTCACTTTCACTTCTGAAGTCCCTTGTTTCCTTTAAACCTTAATTCAAACATCACCTCCTGAAGTCTTTCTTGATTCCCACCCTCTATACCTGAGTGTCTTCCCAGCATGAATTAAGTTAATGCATATTTTATATGATAGACAGTGTGGTCTGGTGGATAGAGAGCTGGCATCAGAGTCAGGAAGACCTTGGTTATAATCCTGCCTCTGACACACTGGCTGTGTAACTCTGGACACATGGAGAACATTTAACCTTAACCTCTCAGTGTCCTTAAGTAACTCTAGTCTGAAGACTATAGGTTGCAGAATAAGTGTCAGTCTGGATGTTCCCATCCCAGATTTTGGACACACTTAAATTTGTACATTTTGTCTCTCCTGATACTGTTATTTTGAGGACAGATACTTATATGCCTGTTCCCTAGCACAATTCCTGGTGCAAGGGCCATATCTCCATGTCTGGAATGCACTCCCACCTCAGTGTCATTTCTACAATCCCTAGTTCCTTTTAAACCTCATTTCAGACATCACCTCCTACGTAGGGCCTTTTCAGACATTTCAGAGTTGTGATATTAAGCACTTAATAAATGTTTATTGATGGATTTATAGAAAATACCTGGTATAGAGAAGCATGTTGGCTCTAAGGGTGGTCCAGGGTGTGCAAGTACCTGTTGAGAACATGACTCTGAGGTGAACAGGAAATAGGTCGACTGTCACAATCAGTGACTAACTTTTGGGTGCCAAGGCAGTGGTCTGGGTGCTAGGAAGCCTAAGGAGCAAATATGTAACAAGCCTTTCCCCCAAAGGGTTTGTTAGGGCAGGGCCAGAGCAAATGTTGCCTTCCTTACTGATCTGATAATCCCAGCGGGCTTTTGTCAGGCTGATCCCAGCTGGTCTTCAAGGGATTGGGTCCCCAGACCAGGTGACCCAATGAGAGCTATTGGGAAGGAGGCCAGGCTAAGGGGCAGGCTGAAGGCAACTATGGACCTTAAAAAGGGGGCCATGAGAAAGCAGGATCAACCAAGGGGTGAGAAGGAAGAAGCCCCACAGATTCATACTCAGTACTTAGCATAAAGCCTTGGTTGCCCAAGTTTAGTTCCCATTCTGTACTTTGTAATCATTAAGTTTATTTTTAAAATATAAAGGAGATTTAGAATTGCCTTTAGAATTACGCAGCATTTTGATTTGAGTACTCTTTGTAGAAGAGTTCCTTCATTCAACTAGAATTTATTAAGTATGTACTGTTTGCCTGGCCCTGGGCTTAGTCTTGAGTATACAAAAACTAATAATGGTCTCTGCACTCAAAGATCTTGAAACAAAAGAGAAATTGGAGTACTGAAATAGAAGAAACAAATTAAGTCAATTTAAGTTAATTATATCACTCGAATTATTGTGTAACATTTGATGGATGTTATTCTTTTTTTTCCTATCCCCTATTGTGATACTATTTTGAAGGGCAAAAGTGCAACATTTTTTTATTTGCTGCCCTATTTGTATCTTTCAGAAGTTAAAAATACACTCTTAGGGAAAAAAGGAAAGCGCTAAAGATTTTTTATAGACTAGAAAATATTCACTGGATAAATTTTAAAATAAGCAGGTTACTTTAGGTTAAAAAAAAAGTCATTGTCCTGCTTCCCCCCACCCCACTTCTTTGATCCATTCTCTTTTTTAGATTTCTTAACTCTCACAATGTCAGAGCTGCATAACTAGGTATTAGATTTTTAATTACTTATTGTGGCTATGGATATGTTTGCATCAACAGAAGGACCAGGGTGTCATTTGACACAAAAATACTGTAATTTTACTTTGAAATAAAAATTATCCTACTTTCTATTTTATTTGCCTTAGGGATTGAAAACTGTACTGTTATCAGTTGATGCAGTTTGGTCTCCTTTGAGTTATTCTTAAATTCTGTTCCTTCTAGTGTTAAAAGGGGGCCAGAACAAAAAAAAAAAAGGCAGGATAATACTTTTTACTGTTCCAAGCCTGGGATAACCCTAAAGAGAAAGTTTCCTTACTGTCAACTTTGCTCTTTCTTGAAATTACTGTTTTTGTATTTCTCGTAGTTCCAAAGTTTCAATACTGGTGGCTCGTGATTGGTTTGAGATAGGCTACAAAAGTATTAGGTACAATTGTGTTAGTTAGTAAGCTCTACAGAAAGTTTGTCCCAATTTGATTATTTTGTATTTGCTTTAATCTAGTTGTGTCAGGATTACTTGGAAGAGTAACACCCAAAATATTATAAAGACTTCATTTAACAGTGCTTTTTGATTAACATCTAAGTATGTTTCTGGAAGGATCACTTGTAGAAAATATTGAAAACAGGAATTGCAGTAAAAATAACAAGGTATAGTAAATCTTCTGTTATAGTGGGGTAGTCTGATGTTGCAGTTATCACATATATCATATTCTAAGCAGATTGACAGGTTTCAAAGAATTGGAATGCCATAGAATACTAAAATTATGCTTAACATTTATTCTTTCTTCGATTCAGAAGAAAGCACAAGATCTTGCAGTACCTTCAAATCATTGTTTTGAAAATTAATTATTATGATACTAGTGTTGATCCGTGGAAGTGATAGTTTAATAGTGTTCTGTTTAACGAAATGCCACATTACTGAAAGTTCATGATATTAACATTGCTTCATATATTTTGAACAATTGTAATTTTACAATATCATGTTAACAAATAATATGAAAATGTGAGTTTACATTTGTGTGAATGAAGAATTCCTAGGACTATAAATGAGACATAGGAAGATTTCTTTTTAGAATAATGAGCTTGTGAAACTGCCAGATGATTTGATTCTATAGGGAAAGAAATGAGGAAGGAAAAAGATAGTGGCAAAATTCGATAATTTACATAAAGAAACTTTAAAGATTTCCAAAGTTGAAAATTTTAATATTTTAGGTGACTGTTCTTTCCTCTCAAGTAAAGCTAAGTTACCTGATAATAAAAGAACCTAATCACTTAATAGTATCATAGTGGTACCAAACAAAGGAATTTAAAGTGAAAGATATTTTCCATCTTTTGTGACAAATGTATATATTTTTTTTTTCTGTGAAGGGCCGAGATGGAAGAAAAAATGTGGTTCCTCAAGTTCTTTCTGTGAGTGGAGATCTAGACCAAGGAGCATTAGCTTATCTCTATGATTCCCTTCAGCTAACAGATAAATCCTTTATAGGAAAGAAGGATCTTCAGAGAAAGGTACTTTGGGAGACGTGGGAAGGATGTTCATAGGAGATACTGAGGAAATCAAAGTTATATACAGTTGTTTCATTTTAAAAGTTTGTGGTAGCAATTTCTAACATAAAAAAGTTAAATTTTTATAGATTTCTTTTGGTACCAATGAATTTCATTGTTTTTCATGGTCTGTCCTGAGTATAAAGTTAGCTTCCTGTGGTAGTATAGAAGAGGGCTCCTTAACTGGTTGATCATATAGCCTGACTTGTTTAACCTGGAGAGGTTAGCAGCTGCAGCAGCTGTATAGGTTCCTGGATATTTCCAGAAGATAAGTTCCAGCCATGTGGCTTGCTGGGTATTTCCAGAAGTTAGGTTCTACCCAGAACCGATCAGTTGACTGCATTGTCAACAACCTAGCATGAGACAGGACCATTTGGCAGTGGTGACTTCTCTAGTTTCAGCCATAGTGGCCAGTCAAAGGGCAAGATAGAGGTTCAAAACTGTGGTGAAGTGGCCAGTGTCCACAGCAGAAGCAGAAACATGGGAGCAGCTAGGTGGTGCAGTGGATAGAGCACTGGCCCTGGATTCAGGAGGATCTGAGTTCAAATCCGGCCTCAGACACATAACACTTAATAGCTGTGTGACCCTGGGCAAGTCACTTAACCCCATTGCTTAACCAAAAAAAAAAAAGAAGAAGAAGAAGAAGCAGAAACACGAAGACTACTAGAAAACTGCATCTTTGCCTGCTTTAGGTAGTGAGACTAAGTCTAAATTTTGATCAAGGGCCTGGCAGTATTCCTGTGTTTAAATGTTGTATGCTAATGTGCACTGTCTTGTTTTTTACATGAAGGGTGAAGTATATATTCAGACCCTATTTTTATTGCCTAAAGGACTTGTATATGCAGATTTTATTTAAAAGTATTGATTATTTATGTAAATATATTTTTTCTTACAGTTTGGTGATCTTTTTGTAATGTAGAATTCATGGATAAGAGGGTAATTTAAATAATGAATCATCATACTCTTAACAATTGGATTAATCATTAGTTCTTTCCAGCTTTTAGGAACTTTATTTTTCTTTCTTTTTTCTTTATTAGTTTATTTTGATTTATCAACAATCATTTCCATAAGCTTTTGAGTTTTAAATTTTTCCCCACCTCCTTTCCCACCTCCTTCCCCAAGACAGCACATAATCTGATATAGCCTATACATATACATTCCTATTAAATTTATATTTTCACATTAGTTATCTTGTATCGAAGAATTAGAACCAATAGAAGGAACCACAAGAAAGAGGAAACAAAACAAAACAGAAGAAAAAGAGCAAATAGTATGCTTCAATCTGCATTGAAACTCCATAGTTCTTTCTTTGGATGTGGATAGCATTTTCCATCATGAGACTTTTGGAGATGTCTTAGATCCTTGTATTGCTGAGAAAGGCTAAGTCTATCAAAGTTAGTCATCGTACAACGTGGCTGTTACTGTGTACAACTTTCTCCTGGTTCTGCTCACTTCACTCAGCGTCAGTCCATACAAGTCTTTCCAGGTTTTTCTGAAGTCCTCCTGCTCATCATTTCTTACAGCACAATTTTAGGAACTTTAGCAAAAAGTCCAGCCACTGATTTCATAGATGAGAAAATTGAGATGCTGAAGTAGGTAAAGCGATTTTGCCCATGGTCACACAACAAAGTAGTAGTAGAGCAAGGGCCAGCTTCTACACCATTTCTCTTAAAGTATGATGATCTTGGTGGTCTAATAGGAAGAATTGTTTTCTAAGTATCTGTGCAGAATTATTTCCAGTTAAACTAAATGTTAATTATTCTATCTCATCATGAGGCCTGAAATGGAAATATTTGTGATAGTTGCAGGTTATCCTTTTTTCAGTTCACAGTGTTTGATTATGTTGCAGTTTTAAAATAGTTTCCATTCTTGACTAAAAAGTCTTAGCTGTTGAATAATCTCTACATTTGTGGGTATTTCTTGTATTGTATTTGATCAACAGTCAATTTTTTTCTGTATAATTTTATTAGGTACTTAAACTTCACCCTTGTTTAGCTCCAGTCAAGGTGGCTTTGGATGTGGGAAGAGGTCCAGCAATGGAGTTGAGACAGGTTTGTTATTAACATATTTTAATTTCATTAATATAATTATATCCATACTTTCAACAACAAACTCTTATGATTTAGCTTTAATTCATATTCAGTTACTTTAATGAAGTTGGCTCTGTGGAGGATGAGTTAAAGTAGGGAGAGCATTGGAGCAGGAGACCAGTTAGGAGACCATTGCATTGTTCATTGTTCATCATTGCATTGATGCACAAAAATATGCATCATCAGTTGTATGTGAAACTAACTTTATAAGTTTTATTTTCAACATTAATTTTTGTCCATTCAGAAATTAAGTAAACATTTATGTAAGGCACCATGGACAGAAAAAAAAGGAAAAAATAGCCCTTTCCCTCAAGTATATTACATTCTCCTAGCAGACAGAACATATTACAAGTAAGTAATAGAGAGTATGTACTAGCTGATACAGAAAAAGTGAAGAGGGACAATGTTCATATCTGGGGGCAGATCAAGTAAAGCCTGCTGTAGGAAGAGGAATCTGAGCTGGGCTTTGAAGGTAACTAGGGATTCTGTGAGGCAGAGCTGAGGAGGAAGTTAAGTAAGGAAGCAGGAGGTGCAGTGTTGTCTGTTGTGAATAGGTCGCTGGTCAGTTTGACTAATAGAATGCATGAAGGGTGGTAATATGAAATCAGGCTGGAAAGTTAGGCACTTAGGCCTGAATATCTTATTGCTAATAGAGCATGTAAAATGTGTATAATAGTTGCATTTGTAAAGAAAGCACTTTGTAAACCTTTTAAAGCACTGTATAAATCTGAATTGTTATTTAACAATACGTGGTACCTATTATTCAGTAGGTGACAATTTGATAGAGGAGATAAGGCACTTTGAAAAATAATTTCAGCACAAAATAAGCTTAGTGCACTCACCAGGATACTGAAAATCTTAAAATTAGTTCCCTTGGGGCTCAGTGAGAGCCTGTGAACATGTTTATGCATAAGCTAGTTTAAAAATAGATACTAAAAAAAAAAACCCCCCAAAAATAGATACTTCCTTTCACAACCACAAAGACAGGTGTTAATATCTGATGAAAAGGACATTTTTTTTAGTAGAATGAAGAATAGTAGCAAGTTAACATGATTTTGTTAGTTCCTCGTATAATGTAATGTGGGTACAATAAAATATTTTTGATAACTGAGGATGAAATTAGACACAGCTCATCCTTAATGTATGTGTCTTGTTATTTTAGGTAACTTAGGTGATAACTTAGGTTACTTAGGTGATAAAAGTTGTTTTTTCTACTTGTAAAGCTTCTTTTTATTTGTTATTTTTCCTTTGTCTTATGCCTCTCTTAGTTGAAACTAGTTGTTAAGAGCTTAATCATAATGCCTGTTACTTTGAAGGTAATGAGAAATTGTTTATACTGTTGCTTATAATGAGAAACTGTTCATAAACTGTTACTCATATTTTAAGATGTTCCAAGACTTTGTGGTTTTTGCCCTAGGTTTGTCAAGGACTGTTTAATGAATTACTAGAAAGTGGAATTTCTGTATGGCCTGGGTATTTGGAAACCATGCAGTCCTCGATGGAACAACTTTATTTAAAGTAAGGAAAAAAGTCCCTGGTAATTAAAAACTTAGGCACTTATTAAGCATCTGCTATATACTGAATTGCTAAGTACTAGAGATAACAGATTAAATAAGACACAGAGGCTCCCAATCTAGTAGGGAAATAATGACGCATATATATATATATATATATATATATGTATATATATATATATAAGTAACTCTAATACAAAATGATACATGAACATTATGAAATAAGAATGTTGTTCCAGAGTAACCTCAATTATTTAGTGATATTTACTTCGTCACAGAATAAAATTCTTAGATTCATGGATTATTGGAGCTGAAAAGGACTTTAGAGGTCATCTACTCCAGCACCTTCACTTGAAGATGTAAATGTTGTGTGGTATCAGTCATAGTGAACTGGCTTGAGACTCAGAAGACCTACCTAGGTTCAAGTCTTACCTCTGACACTTAATGATGTGACTCTGAACAAGTCACCCGACCTCTCAGTACTCCCAAGCAACCAGGACTATCAGTTGCCCAAAAGTTACTGATTTATAGTGGGAGAGATAGTTTGCTCGCTGAAAATTCTCTACTCCAGTGCAATTGCAGTATTGGGCCCAAAACATTATACACCTCCACACAACATGTGAAGTGATATTGCTAATTTTTCTTTTGTTATGTAGGCAACAGATTTATAATTGGAGATTTAGTTATTGAATCGACATTTAGCAATTTCATTCCAAGTTGATCAGTTTTATTGTGCCTCATAGATCTCAGGTGGAGAGAACTATGTAGCCTTGATTTAATTTGCTCATATATCATCTTACCACTTCAGTTCCATTTACCTGCATAAAGGAGATCCTGATCTTTGTATACTGTTCTTTTCAGGGCTGACTTGTGGTACCTTACAGGAATATATAGCTTGTAAATGGGAGCATGGAAAAAAAGATTTCTGCACATATTTCCTCTTCCATAGAATGAGTTGGAGCACTTTAAAGGGTCCCCTCAGGTCTTTTCCAGCTTTAAAATTCTGTGATCTTATGACTCCTGTAAGCATATTTGGATTGTATCTGTTTGTTATATAGTCAGTTTTCTGGGTTATGGACAGACAGATAAGTCAGTTTAGTAACATGATGTAGTAGGGAGAGCACAGGTCTTAGAATCAGAAGAGACCTGGGTTTAAATGCTATATCTGACACTATGTGAGTCTGAGTCTGTTTCCTCATCTGAAAAATGGGGATGATGTTAATACCTGTAAATGTAGCATCTTATTCAAGGAGGTCACTGTGAAGATTAAATTAAAATGAATAGGGGCAGCTAGATGGCGCAGTGGATAGAACATCGGCCCTGGATTCAGGAGGACCTGAGTTCATATCCGGCCTCAGACACTTGACACTTACTAGCTGTGTGACCCTGGGCAAGTCACTTAAACCCATTGCCTAGCACCCCCCCAAAAAATTAAAATTAATGAAAAGTGGTTTACAAGCCTACAAATTAAATTTCAGCTACTAAGTGCTAAGATAAGCATGATTCCTTTATAAAGACTTATAAAACATTGAAACTTTATTATGTAATGTTGCTTACTGTAAAGCAGAATTCATCATGTCTCTGGACTTGGACTTCATCGAAGAGAGTTTATCAAAGCATTAAAAGGACTTCTTTTTTTGCCTGTAGTATTTCCCCAGTTACACGTAAAAGCAATTTATAATATTCTTTTTCAAAACTTTGAGTTCTAAATTCTCTCTCTTCCTCCCTTCCCACCCCACCCCCACATTGAGAAGGCAAACAGTTCGATATAGGTTATACTTGTGTAAAAAGGGCCTCCTTTTGAGTCAACCTCAAAGCACCCTTTGCCTACTCCCCTTTCTCAATTATATTCAGTAGTTTCTAAGAATGTATTATTCTTTGGACCTATTTCCAAACTCTGCTCTTTGGCTCTTCAGTTTCCTCAGACTGGAAGAATCTGAACTGTTTGGAATAAAAATACAATATTTATGCCTGTACTTTGATTTTACCTTTTTTTGCAGGTATGATGAAATGAGTATACCCTTTACTCTTTTGATAACGGAAACTACTTTGGAGAATGGGTTAATACACCTGAGAAGTAGAGACACCACAATGAAGGAGTTGATGCACATATCTAAAGTAAAGGACTTTTTAATCATGTATATTACATCTGCCAAAAATGTGTAGATATTAGTAGCTTAATAAATACTTTTTGTCATTTAAATTGGCTATCTCAGATATGTGTCCGGCTTCATTTTTGAAATAGAAATTTTTCTTTGTTATGAAGATAGCTTTGTTTGGTTCATTTTTTTTGTAACCCTTAGCTCCAATTTTGTATGATTCTAACTGGTAAACTACCTACATTGTCAGAATATGGAGTACTGATAAGTAAATTTTTATCAATATATAACTTAAAATTTGAAAACCAGGCTTCTTAATGATTTTGATAAGTCATGTTTAGTATGTGAAATGACATCTGAAATATTGACAAGCATTTCAAATTAATATTAGAAGTGCTAAGAATCATTTGAAAGATCTAATTTCTAGCAATTTCTAATTCTACAGACATATGTATGATTAGCTTTACTAAAGATTCCGAATTAGAAAAAAGTTGGGTGGGGAAGGGAATAATTTCCTTTCAAGAAAGTGGGTTGAGAGGATTGAAGAGAGCCAGACTTCTTGCCTACCATTCAAAGAACAAACAGAAATGTCAGAGAGAATAGCCCACCAGACCACTTCAAGGATAGAAAATTCAACCAAAGTAGATAGAGAGCAGAATAAGAGTGCCAGTTTGGTAACATGCCACAGTATTAAACAGCTAACGTACCAGAAGCAGCACATAAAGTGTCAGGCATTGAGAGAGACAAAAATTAAACAGTAATCAATACAAGACCAAATATTGGAGCTAGTAGTGGAAAAATCATAACAGACTAAGCAAGAAATAGTCCAGTCTTTAATAAACCCAAGAACAGAAATTACTGAAGAAATGGCTTTTTTTTTTTAGGTGAGGGAATCGGGGTTAAGTGACTTGCCCAGGATCACACAACTAGTGTCATGTGTCTTGAGGCCAGATTTGAACTCAGGTCCTCCTGACTCCAAGGCCAGAGCTCTATATTCTATTCCACCTAGCTGTCCCGAAATGGCTTACTTTTTGACAAAAACCACTTGGGTAAACTGAAGCAATTTGTCTGAGATTTGGTTTAGACTAGCATCATAATACCACAAGCTTAACATACCACAAGCTCAGAATATATATAAGAAGTTGTACTACAAGAATAATTAATGGAGGTACCTTTGATAACTGGCTAAGGGGAGAACTATCTATAGAAGGGATGGGAACACCATAAAAGGAAATAGATTTTCAGTTGCACAAATTAAGAAGCTTTTGCACAAATAAAATTGCTAATTCTCTAAACTCTAAAATTTAGAATGGAAAATCCAATTATCACCAATAAAAGTCTTGATATTCAAGATATATATATATAAATTTCATGTATGTGTGTGTAAAATTGGTACAAATGTAAGAGTATATGCCAATAGAAGTGGCAAAAGGATATGACAGTTGTCAAAAGATTTGCCAACTGTAAGTTAGCTTTGAAAATATTCCAAGTATTTATTGGAATACAACTCATACAAATGCAGAATCATGGGGCTAGCAAAACTTGGTATTCTATATAAGGCAAGAGATGGAGATTAAAGAAGCAGTTAAACTTTGAAAAATTTGCAAGAAGACACATTTCAAGAAGTCTGAACAACAGAAAAACCTACAAGCCCCAAAGATAAGTATGTAAAACACTTATTAACCTGTAGTCTGAACTAGTTTTATTTTTTTGGAGGGGGGGGGAGGCAATTAGGGTTAAGTGACTTGCCTTGGGTCACATAACTAGTAAGTGTCTAAGGCCAGGTTTAGAACTCGGGTTGTCCTGACTCCAGGACTGGTGCTTTCCACTGCACTACCTGGCTGCCATCTCAACTTGTTTTAAAAAATATTTTGATGTTTCTTTTTCAGTATAGTTGGTTTCCATTGTATTCCTATTTTATTTTATACATTTAAAAGTATTCTAGGAAATCCATAAGCCTCACCTTACTGCCCAAAGGGTTTATGACCCAAGAAGGTTAAGAACTTAGGGCAATACTTGCTTTTCAGATATTGTATTAGCTAAATCATTAAATATTTCAGAAGGACATTTCATAGAAATGGTAGAATGGAGAAGTTGGGAGGGGAAGAGAATATTGGGTAAGGTAATTCCAAAGTGAGCACTAGCCCCACCAGCAGGGACAATGGATTTTTGTATCTTATTGTATCTTACAAGAGGAAATTATTGTATCTTAAAAGAGTAAATGGGTAATTACAGTTTAACTATCATCTTTGAGAATTAGGGAAATTTAATTACAGTTGTGGAGAAGAGAGAACAAGAGAAAGTACTAAAAACTTTTTGAGAGTCTAAATTTAATCTTGCCAGAAACATGAAGAGAATTCTTGAGAGATTTGCCATCCTTAGACACTGGCATAAGGGTCTGTTTCCAGAATTATGGAGAAGTCAGTAGTAGCAATAATGGTTAGAGGTATATAGAAATCTTTTGCATAGGTAATACGTTGTAAATATTTACATTTTAAAATGTTTAATTGTATAATAAGCTGTTTATTTAAGCCTAGGAGGTTGTTTGGAGGTTTGATACATAGAGATGGGCAAAAACTTATGGAAAAGGTGATTTCTCTATTTTGTAATAAATTGGACTGTGGGGTTCAGAGCTAATTGATTAATTAAAGAGAAGATATAATATCCTTCGATTGCCTTGGAATTTGAGGTAAAAGAATTAATAAGGCAATAAGTCAAGTAGTAGTAAAGAAGAGTAAAGTTTAGCATAGTTGATTAATATGCACCACACAGCCCTTTTGACATCCTCATATTTATCTTCAACTCCCATGATCTACATCTTCTGTCTCAGCCACAGAACTTCATATAGGTTGTTACACATAGGTGCTATATAATCAGATACAAATCAAGCAACCTTAAAATGCAACTATACTTATTGACATGGCAATAATAAAATTCAGAGTTGGTGAGATTAACAGAAAATGGACACTCAAACACTGTTGGTGGATTTATAGATCGGGACAAATATTTTGAAAAGCAATGTGAGGGAGTAGCAGGAAGAAGTAAGGTGAGCACTTCCTCCTCTCCCCCCAGCAAGCCCTTCCAAAACAGATCTCAAAAACACACCAGACTGAATTCTAATGGGGAAATCCAAGAGAAAAAAAAAAACACCATTTTTTTCCAGCACAAGTTGAAATAGGAAATCAAGTCTGGGGATATTGGGGAAGGGGTTTGGACAGAAACCATGGGACCATAAAGACCACTTCAGGATAGAGAGTGGTGGACTGGGACAAAAAGAGCTTCCAGACTTACCCCTTATATCGGGTTGTGACCTCATTTAGGGTGTGGGAATAGTTGCCAATTGACAGTTTTGTTGCCTATTACCCAGTTTTGGGTCACAAATCCAGGGCAGACTGAGGAGGGGAGCTACTCCCAGAGGTGGAATTTCATGGTGAGGAAGGATCTCAGTTCTCTTGTGTACTGAGCCAAGAAGTTTAGAAGCAAGCAGCTGTAGTGTGGTTTAGACCTCAGGAGCAGAGCAGATTCTAATTTCCAGCTTCTAGCAATTAAAACTTAGGAAAAACCAGGACAGGAATCTCAGACCAAATGAAAGCTGGAAGTTCTGTCACTGAACCAACAGAGCTTTCTCACTGTTTGATAATGGCTGAATCCTGCAGCAGCTTATTGTTACTCAAACCAAGGTCAGGAACTTGGAGAGCTCAGAAACTAAGGGGACATTGATCAGACTCAGGATTAGACCACCTTGGGAAAACTTAGACCCTAGTCTGAGGTTTTCCTGAGAGCTTTGGAATACACACCTCAAGAAAACAATAGTAGGACCAGCCCTGCCATGCCTGGCCCTAACATAAAATCTGAAGTCAGAAAGTAGGTTGGAAGAATGAACAAAAAAATGAACCTAAAGACAAAAAGCTACTATGGTGACATGGACACTCAAGAAAGAAACCCAGAGGAAGAGAGTAAGTCCAAGAGATCTACAAGCAAAGCCTCAAAGCACAGCTTGGGCACAAATTCAACTAGAATTCCTTGAAAAGATGAAACAAGGTGTTTTGTTTTTTTTTTTAAGTTTAAAAATTTTTTTTATAAAGAAATGAGAGGACTTGAGGAAAAAACTGGAAAAGAGACCCATGGAAGAAAATAATGCACTCAGTTCGTTAATGGTGCCCATTAATGGGCACTATAAAAAATTATAAATATGAAGAATACAAAGAAGTATGTAAAGACTATATGAAATGATACAGAGCAAGATCAGTAAAACTAAAACTATATATACTTTGATTACAACTGTTTTTAAAGTAGTAGAACTTCACACATTTGGAAAGGGAAACGTTTTTGAAACAATTGTTTGATTTATTTGGTTTTTTCTTAAATGCTAAAGGTTTATGTAAGATTGTAGTCTTTGTTTTGCAAGTTTATTTGACCATTGTCTTTTTTTTTTTTTTTTTGCAAGGCAATCAGGGTTAAGTGCCTTGCCCAGGGTCACACTGCTAGTAAGTGTCAAGTGTTTGAGGCTGGATTTGAACTCAGGTCCTCCTGACTCCAAAGCCAAGGCTGTATCCACTGTGCCACCTAGCTCTGACCATTGGCTTTTGCTGATGCTAATTAATAAATTTTAAAACTGCCTGAATCAAAATTCCCAGAAGTAATGTCAATCAAAATTGTGATAAAGAGAAACTGAGACAGAGTTTTGAGCATGATCATGCTCCATCGATCAATAAGTTGATCAATTTATTAGCAATTGCCAATAAAAGGGATCCACCTCTCCTCAATAGCCAAGGATATTCATGGCAAAATACGGAGTATTCTTTTAGTTGAAAAAGAGGAATGAATAGAAATGCATATTCATGAGATTAATACATATTCATGATGTTAATGTATATTCATATGATTTACTGGAATAGGGAAATCGGTTGATCAGTAATAAGCATGTCGGGGGAGTGGCAGTATCAAGTAGTTTCTTTCCTATTGGTTAGAATATTACAAACGCTATGACAAGTGGGATGCTTGACAGCATGGAAATCAGTGAGTGTCACACAAGGAGGCTGGTTAGGACCAACTGAAAAGAGGCACTTAGCTCATCAGCTTATATCTGCTGGAGCTCAGCTTT